CACAATCACTATTGTCTTTTCACCTTCTTTATTACATCTCTTGACGAAAAAAGTTCTTAGTTTTAACGTAGTCAGAAATAGCAATCTTTTTCTTTATTGTTTACATGTTTTGTGTCTATTTTTAAAAAGCCTTCCCTATCCTGAGGTCTTAAAGATATTGTTCTATATTTTCTTCCAAAAGTTTTGAAGTTTTGTTTTTCATGTTCTGTCTTTTGTCCATGTGTTTTTGTTTTGGTTTTTTTGGTGAGGAAGATTGGCTCTGACCTAACATCTGTTGCCCATCTTGCTCTTTTTTTCCTTTTCTTTGCTCCCCAAAGCCCCAGTACGTAGTTGTATATCCTAGTTGTAGGTCATTCTAGTTCTTCTATGTGGGATGCCATCACAGTATGGCTTGATGAGTGGTGCGTAGATCCACGCCCAGGATCCAAACTAGCGAACCCTGGGCTGCTGGAGCAGAGCATGCAAATTTAATCACTCAGCTATGGGGCCGGCCCATGTATTTTTTTATATATAGTGTAAGATAGGAAGTCAGTTTAACTTTTTTTTACATTTACCCATTTACCCAGCACCATGTAGTGAATGGCCCCTCATGTTCCCATTCATCATCAATGTCACCTCTTGCATATACCAAAAGTCCCTGTATATGTTGGGTCTCTCTGGCTTCTCTATTCTTTCTATTGCTCTGTTTGCTTATCTCTGTTCCAGTACCATGGTTTCTTGATCACTAGAGATTTTGAGCATCAATATATGATAAAATGCATATAGCTCTGGTGTCAATCGTTTTTTTTTTTCTGCTTTTTCTCCCCAAATCCTCCCAGCACATAATTGTGTATTTTAGTTGTGAGTCCTTCTAGTTGTGGCATGTGGGACACCCCCTCAGTGTGGCCTAATGAGCAGTGCCATGTCCGCACCCAGGATCTGAACCAGCGAACCCCTGGGCCGCCAAAGCAGAGTGTGTGAACCTAACCACTCGGCCATGGGGCCGGCCCCTACATTATTCTTTTATATTCAATAATCCTATCAAATTATTTTTCCAATTTTGTAATTTGTAGATTCTTTTGGGTTTTCTATGTTCACAGCCAGGTCATATACAAATAATTATAGTTTTTCTGTAGTGGATATGTTCTCCTTGATTTTCCTGATACATTCTCTCATTCTGTTTGGCTTAGTCCCGTTTTGCTTTTATAAAAAAACTTACAAATTAGAAATTATTGTTTTATACAGTCATGAGTTTAGATACTTGTTATTAATTGTTTCTTTGTTCACTATATTCATTAGGATACAGGCTAAAATGTAACAGAGATATCCCAAAATACAGTGGCTTAAAAAAATAAAGAAGTTTATTTCTCTCTCACTCAATTGTCCAAATGCAGGCAACCCAGGTTGGGTTCTGCCACCCTAAACATGGGCACACGTCTCTGCATCTAATATGGCACCTCCATCTTTCTCATCTTCCACTTTGGAAGGGAAAGGGCCAAGAAAGCATACTCATGTCCCTTTGAAGGGCATCCCGCTAAACAGCACACATTACTTCTACTTACATCTGAGGGAATTTACCTTAAATACTTGGTCACCCTAAGCTTCAAGGGAAGTTGAGAAAGGTAGTTTTTAAGTGGGTGGCCACCCAGATCACCTGGGATCCATTTTACCTGTTTGGTGTACCCATCCCCCAACTACTCCTCTGGGTATTGCTACTAAGAATTCACACCTGCATCCTTTTCAGGAGGCTTACCCTTGGGCACATAGAGCCACATTACAGAAAGTGACTGGGAGTTGCATGCGTACCTGCCATCGCTCCAGTCAGCCTGTAGCCAACAACTTAATGGTACAGGGCACCAAAGCCCAGCTCCCTTGCCTTCAGTCTGCATGAATTCTGTAGTATAAGAGACCCCAGGATTAAGCTGAGCCTAGATTTCACCTATAATCACACATTCTTACTAAACTTCTTCCCCTTTCCTATCCTGCTTCCCTCACATCGATACGGTTTCTCCCGACAATAACTCACTTAATAAGTTACTTGAACATGAATCCCTGTCTCAGAATTTGCTTGTAGAGAAATGATCCAGTGGGTGCTGGAGCTGGCTTCTACCAGCTCATGAGAGGCAATTGTTAATTTTCAGAAATTTTGTAAGCTGGATATTAAACACAGTCATTATTAAAAATTAAATTATAAAACCTACAATTAAAGAAATGACATTAAAAACAAAGGAAATAAATACTCAAAATTTATCACTTCCTAATTATTTCATTGTATTTTATTATTACTTGTGCTCTTGAGGTTGAGACTAATGTAGCTGTATGGTAGAAATTCTATATAACGGTGTGTATCTCTTTCCAACTCTACATTCAATAATGTCTTGTTAGTAGCTTGAAATCAGGCATGGTGGAAATATTTATACCATGGAAACCTGTACATGTTACAAATCAGGGCCTTTTTTTTTTTCCTACAGAGCTGCTTGTTAAATATTTGCAGGCACACCACCAGAATGACCTAAGACATCAGGTCATTGCATAAGACATCTATTATTATGGAAGGGAAGGAGAAGAGACATTGGGGCTAAATTAGAAAATGTGTCACATTAACCTATTTTTTTAAACTGAGGCAAAATTTGCATACAGTGAAATACACAGATCTTAAGTGCACGATTTAATGTTTTAATAAATATACAGACCCATGTAACCACCACCTTAATCAAGACATAGAACATTTGAAAACCCTGGAAAGTGTCTTTGTGTCCTCTTTAAATCCATCATAGGCAACCTGTTTTGCCTGCTTGGTCTTCATATGAATAGAACCAGAAAGCTGTACTCTATTTGGGTCTGGCTTCTTTCACTCAACATAACGGTTTTGAATTTCATCCATGTTCTTGTGTATATCAGCAGTTTATTCTTTTTTATCACTGAGTAGTATTCCATTGGTTACCATTTATCTGTTGACAGACATTTGAGTGGCTTCCAGATTCTGGCTATTATGAATGAAGATATTATGAACGTTCCTATATAAGTCCTTGAGTGGCTATTGCTACTATTTCCTTCCAGTCTGTGGCTTTTATTTTCATTTTCTTAACAGTACCTTCCAAAGAGCAGATTCTCATTTTGATGAAATCCAATAATTTTTTTTCTTATATGGTTCATGCTTTTTGTGTCCTATATTAAGAATCTTTGCCTACCTAAGGGTCACAAAGATTTTTTTTTCTAAATTTTTTCCTAGAAGTTTTATAGATTTAGGTTTTACAGTTAGTTCTATAATCCATTTTGAAATAATTTTTCTATATAATGCAAGGTAAGGATTGAGTCTTCATGGCGTTTTTGTTGTTTTTTGGTTTTTGTTTTTGTTTTTGCATAGGAATATCCCCTTGTTCCAGCATCATTTATTAAAAAGACTATCCTTTTCCCTATTGAATTATCTTTGCATCTTTATTAAAGTCAATTGGCCACATATGTGTGATCCGTTTCTGGACTCTATCCTGTTCTGTCGATCTATATGTCTGCCCTTATGCCAATACCACTGATTGCTAAACCTTTATAGTAAGTCTTGAAATCCAGTAGTTCTCTGTTTTGGTTATTCTAGGTTCTCTGCTTTTACGTATACATTTTAGAATCAGCTTGTCAATTTCTACAAAAAAGCTCCAGCTTGAAAAACATGAACAAATTTGGAGGTATAACACAACCAAATTTCAAGACTAACTATAAAGCTACAGTACTCAGGGCATGGTGAAGTTGGCATAAGAATACACAAACAATAAGGAACTGAATAGAGTCCAGAACTAGATGTATATATACACTGTCAATTAATTTTTGATGAAGTACCAAAGCAAATCAATGTGAAAATAAATATATCTTCAACAAATGCTACTAGAACTGGGTAAACATTAAAGATACAGGAAAATATACCTTGATCCCTATCTCACACCATGACCAAAAATTAATTTGTAGACCATAGACTTCAACGTAAAAGCTAAAATTATAAAGCTTATAGGAGAAAAAGTAGAAGAAAAATCTTTGCCATCCTCAGTTAAAAAGTTAAAAAAACAAGTCACAGACTTAGGACTCTAATCAGAATATATGAAGATTATTTATGAATCAGCAATAAGATGACAAGCATCCTAATTAAAAATGGGCAAAGAATTGAAAAGATCTTTCACAAAAGAAGATATACATGTGACCAATAGCACATAAAAAGGTGCTCAATATAATTAGTTACAGGGAAATACAAATTAAAACCTCAAGGAGATACCACTTCATACCTATTAGTATTGGACAAAAAGGCAGTCCTGATGAGGACGTGAATCCACTGGAACTCCCATTTATTGCTGGTAGAAGTGTAAAATGCTACAACCATTTTGGAAAACGCTTTGAAAATTTCTAATAAAGTTAGCCATACATCTGTTCTATGAACCAGTAGTTCCACCCCAGGTGTATTCCCCAAAGAAGCGGAAGCATGCAGACACAAAAAGTCTTGCGCTAGATGTCTATTAGCAGCTTTAGTCATAACAGCTCCAAACTGGAAGCAATCCAAATGTCCATCAACAGGAAAATAAACAAACTGTGGGATATTCATGCAACAGATTACTATTCAGCAATAAAAAGGAATGAACTATATGTGGAAGGTAAGAAGCCAGACACAAAAGGGCACTTACTGCATTATTCACTAATGTGAGGTTCAGTAACCTGCAAATCTACTCTGAGAGTAATCAGAACAGCAGTTACCTCTGGGAGGGCCGGGTTAGAAGGGGACACCAGGGAGCATCAGGGATTGATGGAAATGTTCTGACATGATGTGGGTAATGTTAACATGAGGTATACATTTGTTAAAACCCATAAAATTGTACCTTGCAATGTGTGCGTTTGACTGTTATGAATTATACCTCAAAAAAGAAAATAATAAGATAGAAATGCGTTAAGAGATAATACAATCATTCATCAACAAACTTTTAACCTTATCTATTTTAAAACATGAATAGAGAAGGAAGCAATGGCATATAGTGAAGTAGGAATAAAAAAGAATTGAGTCTAAATAAAAAATGACTTTATAAACATATTCATAACAATCCAGAAATAAAGCTCCAGATGATACTAACTGAATGTTAGGATGAGGTTTTTCAATGTGTAACCGAGACCAAAGACAACAGTGGCTTAATTAAAAGAGAAGTTTACTTCTCTCTTGCATGAAGAGCTGTAAGGGCAGCCTTACAAATTCCAGGGAGCTAAGTTCCTTCAAAATTCCTGTTCCCTTAGCATGTTCCTCATGTCCTAAGATGGCTGCTCTAGCTCCAGTCACCATGTATACATTCCAGGGAGGAGAGAAGAAAGACGAAATCTTTGTCCTCCCTCTAAGGACATTCCCCAAAATTCACACCCAAAGTTTCTATTTATATTTCATTGGCCAAAGCTTAGTGCCACACTTAGATATACAGGAGACTCGGAAATGTACTCTATGCCCAGAAGAAAGGGGATGAAAGGTGCCGGGGGAGACAATTATCAATCTTTACCACAGTCCACAAATATGTACATGCACCTCCTGCTCACATGTAAAATGCACCCTCCTAAGAGAAGGCAACCTCGAACTTTCATGAACAGGAAAGGAAACTGGGGGCAGTGAAGTGCTCTGCACCATGACAAAGAGCTACTCTGGGACCACAGGGTAATGAGGGAAATGAGCCAGCACAGACACAGTAAGCACCCCAAACTATGCTCTCCCTGAGCCCCAACCCTGTGTTTTCCACAGCCCCGCCAAGGCCATCAGGTGCTCAAGGCTCCACATACCCAGAGGGGGAGCAGGAGAAACAGGCGGAAAATAGCGGTTGCGGTTTGGATACAATGCCCTGAGCCCTCTCTCACTTTCAGTCTCTCGCTTCCTCCTTCCCAGAGGCAGTGCTAGCAAACTCAGCTACAAAGCTCCCTGCAGAGACGCCAAGGGCTGTGACGAGCACAGCAGAAGGACCCAACGCTAAAACCATCTATCCAATTCTCATCAGGGTAGGCAAGGGCCTCCCCTCTCCCTCTAGGGTTTACAGCATCATGAACACCTTCCTAAGCCAAATGTGAGATAAATTCTTCTCAGTGTCCGCACGCCCCAGACCAGCAGGGATGCAGAACACAAAACCCCCTCTCTTAAGCATTTATTCAGTTGACATCGAAATCTCCGCACTCTGTAACGCCTCAACACAACGTGGGGTGAACGTGGATGTGGCCACTAGGGCACTGAGGAAGGGGGTTCCAAGACCGAGTTGCCCCAGGAGGGCTTGTGTGGCAGAGACAGGCCACTCACAGATGGATCCACACGGCGGGGCAGGGGAACTTCGCCCAGCCCCAGACAACTGGGTCAGACGTGGAAATCCTCGGCCTCACGCCTCAGCAGGGACGTGGCGACTCCTTCTCTCTCTGAACAATCACCAGGCTGACTGGCTTGACAGCGTGTCAGGTGGGAGCTGGGAAACCACAAGCAGGGCTAACGCTGCTTCACGGTCGATGATGTCTCTTTGGTAGATGTTCTCCAAGACGTCGCTGAAACCTCAGGCTCCAGCTGGCAGCTCAGCTGGCCCTCTAGCTGGGATGCTTTCACCCCCTCCTTCCCGACAGGCAGAGCACATCCAAGGCGTGGCCAAGGCAGGTGACCAGAGCACCAGGCTGGGACATTTTCAGGACTCCAGTCATGCTGCCACTCTGTTGTGTGGATCTCCACAGGGTCAATGGATCCCACCCGGAATTTGAGGAAAGGGCACTGAGTAGGAGTGGGAGGTTGGATGAGAGGTCTAGTGCGGGACTCAGAACAGGAGGGGCGTGGGCCAGGGTGATCACGGGGTTGCCAGGATGCCCAGGAGCAGCACCAGAGACAGGGGTAAGCTGAGGAACACCATTGGGTACAAAGAGGTAGCCTGGTTCACCACTGCAACTAGGTACTTAGCGTAGACGGCAACGTCTGTGTAAAGTGCAGGCACATTTCTACAATTGCAGGCGATGCCCCAGCTCACAATCCCCACCCAGACCCATGCTTCATTAAATGCACAGACCAGGGGTCCCCAGAATCTCCCTGGAGAAAGAGAAACAAACGCAAGAATGGAAGAGCATCCTCGTCAGAGCAGGCGGACTGCACTGCAAGGTGCTGGGGAGTCAGACACCCCCAGGCCCAGGTTTCTGCGAATATGAGAACTGAAAATTGAAAAGTTACTGGGAAAACTTTAATACCCTCTGAGGATATTATGACTGGTCATTTCCCAAACCACAGTGGTTGTTAAACATTTTGAATATCACCACTGCATGGCAGCCCCCCAAGTCCTTACATCTAGCCTAAAGTTTCTCTAGAACTCCTAACCCATATAGCCAGCTCCCCCATGTTTTAAGTTCCACTCCCAGACATCCTCAACCCCCGCCTCCAGCAGAACTCTCCACATCCTTTCCCAGACCTGCTAGTAGGGCCCCCCCACCAACCAGCTCAGTCACAAATGCAGAGTCCTCCTCAACCTCTCCCGCACCCCCACCCTCACACACAGTCGGTCACCAAGAGCTGCTGATGCCACCTCAGACACACCTCCTTCACCCGCCCCACTGCCCCAGGTCCTGCTCGCCACTCAACATCATCGGTAGGATGATGGAAACCAACTCCTCGCCTAGACACCTGCCTGGACGGTATCTAGAAACTTGGCACAGCATCCCAGGCCACACAGATTCTGACTCCAACCCCACTCTCTGGCCAGATTTGCCACTTCATTGCTCCAGACCAGTAAAATGGTCCCTAAATGTGACAAGTTCCCTCAGACCTCGGAGCCACTGTACCTGCTCTTCCCTGTCCTCACAGTGCTGTTCTCCTCTTTCCAAGAAATCCAGATACTTATCCTCTAACACCCTGCTCAAATGCCCCCCTCCTCAGGAAGGCAGCTTGGTGCAGAGGGAAGACGGTGGGCTCAGGAGTCCTGCAGGCACTCACAGGGGACCCTTGCACTAACCTCTTTGGACCTCACCACATCTGTGTAACAGGCATGGTGTCTAGGACGCAGGGTCATCTGAGCTAATGTGGGGAAATGCTCACATTGGCACAGTAAGTGCCACACAGAAGGGACTCAGTTAGAGGGACTTATACGATTAGCATTACCCCCCTCCCCAACTCCCCACACCTAGGCTGCACCCCCAGGGAGCGAGGGCTGCTCCCTTTGGAAGGAACAGGCCAGGCCAGCTCAGGGGAGCCGCAAGGGCTTCTCCCCATGGATCTCCCGAATCAAGGGGTGACAGGAGGAGGTGGCAAATAGCCCTGCCACTTGGGAATGAGGAAGCTTTGAGGGGACAACCTCAATGCAGAGGGGGAAGAGCATGCATGAACTTACCTGACAAGCATCCTTTCCTGCATCTTTATAGCCACAGAGCATCCCTTTCAATACTACATCCTTGTTTGTTGACATGGCCTGCTGGACCAACTGATTAAGTCTTTCAGAATTAATGATGTATTGCTCACTCTTCTGATGAATATATGAGTAAAGTTGGCCACCTGCAAGTAAAGAAACTCAGCAGTGGGTGGATCTGCACAGGTAGACACTAAGTCCCAAAGCATCTAGAATCCCCCTTAAAGAAGGCAGAGCAGTAGGTATTGTCCCCATTTGACACCAGAGGAAACCGAAGCCCAAAGTTGACATGGGGAGAAGAAGAGGGAAGAACCAAAACCAAGATGGATAAGGAAGAACAGATCAGGACAGGAAGAGGCAACAGCTACCAGCCTGAGAAATGATAACCAAGCATCTGTCACTCTGAGTATCAATAGTAACAGTGACAGGTGTCCTGTGCATCAGTCAAGTGTCTTTACTTTGGAGCAGGATCACAGGCTCTTAGACAGGTAGTGCCCCAAAGGTACCAAATCCAGCCTCTTTCCAGAGATAGGAGGCCCCAGAACCCCACCAACAGGGATCTTCTGGCTCTGCCTACACCCCCAAGGACGGGAACTCCCCACCCACCAAGGCAGGTACTTCCTGTGAGGGAAAGCGCTGACAGGCAGACAGCTCATCACCCCCTGAGCAGAAATCAACCCTGGATAGAACCCCACAGCATCTGGCTCTGTCCTCAGGGAACCTAAAAACATCCCCAAACCAGCCAGGCATGGTCCCCCACAAATCTGCAGGAGACTTCACACGTGTATTTCTTCTTCTCCTGAGAGCAGCTCCAGTTCCCAGGACTGGTACCTTTCCTAAATGGCTGCCATCAAATATTTGTGTTGCAACAAAAGACCTCAACTAATTTCTGGCCTCAAGCCTACTAGAGACCATTATCCTGGCTGCTGCTAAGCCACTGCCCCTTTAAGCTACCCGCCAGGCAGCCTGCCCCCTGTCCCTCCCTTTGCCTTCCTGCCTACTCCAGGGATAAGGCTGCCTCCCTCTGCCCGAGTTTGCTTCCTGCCTCAAAGTCTTACCAAATTCTTCTTTTCTGCTCCATCGGGTCACCCAGCACCTGGCCCCATCTTCCACCTGGAAAGTCTCCTTAGGGATGCATACAGGCTGGATGGTGGTCATGAGATTTACAGGGCAGAGGAGCCAAAGAAGGGCAAGTTCGTGTTGACCGATGACAACTTTTGAGAACCGAGGGTGGACAACGACGTTTGGGATAGGGACCGCCACACTTGTGATTTCTTTATGGACACTCCGATCTCCCATCTTGACACTGTAGTGGAAACGCCTGTGGCAGAGGGGACATGCCCCTCCTAGAGACCCTGGGAAGCATCCCTTGTGCCTTTTCCACACATTTCAGACATTTCCCAATCTGACCCCAGCCTCCCTCACCACTATCTACCACCCTATCACCAAAAACCCCTCCTTAATGACTCTCAGAACTGGTTTGCTTGCCCAAACAACTGGTGTTGTTCTCAGAACTAGTATCCTCGGTCACAAGACTACCAGGGCAGAGCCCCTCCCATTTTTCTCGTGTGTGGTGTGGTTTGGTTTGGCCCAGCTTTGGCTTTTGCCAGCTTGCCAGGGCGACAGAACTCAGCAGGCGTTTGCGGAGGGCAGGGCTGACTCCAGGCCTTCGCATCTCCACGTGCCACTCCTCGCCTTCGAGCACAGTGGCCTGCAGTTCGCACCCGCCGCTTTGTGACGGGGACGCTCCACAGATGCGTCTGCCACTGATCCTGACGCTCGCCGCCAGGGCCACTCCCCTTCTTCGGCGCCCTATCCTCCCAAGGTTTTCCCCAGCGCTCTGGGGTGAGGACAGTGTAGGAGAAAGAGCCTCAAAGAAACAGGCCCCGGCTCCCCTGAGCCCCTGGGAAAGCACCAGGTGCGCCCCAGACAGCCAAGAAGGCCCGGTCCTCTCAGACGCCCGGGCAGTGCTTCCCAGTCCCCAGGCCGTGCACCCGCGGCCCTCCCAAGGCCGAATCGTGTCCCCCGAGACTCCACAGCAGACCCCCGAGGGCAGAGCCTGGTGCCCCAAACTCCCAGGGAGCCCAGGGTCCCACTCTGGTGCCTCAGCCCTCTCCTCCGGACTCCCAACGCGAAGTCACCTGGGATAAGGGGCAGCGTATCAAGGGACACCACGGCCACACGGCAGTCGGGGGCCCCGGGAACCCCTTCAGGAGGCGGCGTCCGCAGGCTCGCCCCGGGATGCCCGCGGCCGACCCCCGGGGGCAGAGAGGTGGGGGCGGCGCCAGCCCCCCCTGAGCCCCTTGCCCGCCCGCCAAGGCCTCCCTGAGCCGGGGCTGAAGGAGCAGGAGCCAGAGCACGAGGCCCAGGGAGCAGCCCGGGGACGCCATGGGCCCCGCCGGCCTCGGCCCTCTGCGGCGACCCCTCGCGACCAGGAGGCAACCCCGGGAGCCCGGCGCCGGGCGGCCGCGGGGCGTCGAGGGGCCTATGCTGAGCCGCAAGGTCCCAGCCCGAGTGGGAAATGTCGCGCTCTCCCTTTCCCTCAGATCCTCACTCCAGGCTGTGCCCGGCCAGACCTGCCGCTGCCGAGGGGTTAGGGGGCTTCTGAGGAAACTCTCCTGAATAGAGACCTCCCAGTTTAGGGTTTTGCTGTCCCTGCCCTGTCTGGCGTGGGACCTAGAGCTGGAGAGGATAGGCCATCTGGGAATGAGTTAAGGAGTCTTAACTCTCCACAATGGTTCCTCAATTCAGGGCTTCATTCACCAGACCTAGATTTGGGGGTAGGAGGAGGATACACGCTAAGGAGGTTAGACAAGGGAGGAGGCTGCCGTTCTGTTTCAGTCGTCGCGACGCTTTCAAAAATTAGCCACCACCAAAGATACCCACAAGTCAGTTCATTCTGATTAGCTCTACGTCCCTGATATCTATTCAGATAGCTCATCCTTTCGTCCTTGTTGCCTAAGCGCTTCTCCTAGGCCTCTGCCTCTCTGGGCTTCATCGTCCCAGTTGAAGTCAGAGGAAAAACAACAATAACGACAACTGCAGTACTTGCTTCTTTTCCCCGGCCAAAAGAGGACAGCCAGTTACAGTGTTTTTCAAGGATGTGGGTGCTCCTCTTCCAATTTAGTTTTCAATGTCTTGGTGAAGGGGTTATTCTCCAAGGCCCTCTTATAGGTCAGAGGAGTGAGGGAGTCAGTCATATATCATGAATTCATTCCAATATTCTCCACTCTCTAACTCTTTGCATTCCTTTCTCTCCATTAAACCAAGGAATTTCTGGCATATCGACTTTGTTTAGTGTGGTCCACCACTGAATTCAGGTTTAAAACAACCAGGGAAACACGTAGAATCATTCCCACCTGCCTGAACCAGCAAACTGAATTCGGAATTTCTGGTAAGCATACTCCTGATAAATTTGGGCCCAAGCCTCCCCAATCAAGAGTCCTTAGAATCCAACCCTCTTCATATACTCCTGGTTCCTTCCAATGTGGATTAGCAAAATCTTGTAATCCTTTCTGTAAGGAAGCCTTCTCCTCCTGAGTGATACTTTGCACCTCTCCTAGAGCATGCTGGGATCTTACTCTAGTTATTAAGTCTGGAGGCAGTGAAGACTGGCTGGGGTGGATTAGGTAAAGAATGGGCATGCCCTTATAATGTAATTTCCTCAGAATAAGTCATTACAGTGTCTCTAAGGTGGAGAGGACCAGCCTTATGCAATGGGAGGAGGTACTGTTTCTGTTAGCAAGAGCAGTTCACTGTGGCTGGGGGTCAGGGTATCCTAAATCTATCCAAATGTGCCCCAACTTAAATTTTCACGGTCTCGTTCTTTACAAGTGAGTGATGTAACTTTTCTGTAAGAGTTCTGATGAAGCTGTTAATTCAGTTTATGTTGAAATTCAGCAAGCGAAAGATCAGATACTATTTTCAACTACATCAACCCTGCAGTTATAAGATATTTCAAATTACTTAAGGGAAATCATAGACACTTTTAATCTGAGAAGCCAAAATTCAAGACTGCCATTTCCTTTCTTTAAAATCATCAGTGCAGGGGCTGGCCAGGTGGCATAGTGGTTAAGTTCGCACACTCCACTTTGGCAGACTGAAGTTCTTGGGATCACATCCTGGACAGACCTACACACCACTCATCAAGCCATGCCATGGCGGTGTCCACATACAAAATAGAGGAAGATTGGTACAAATGTTAGCTCAGGGCCAATCTTCCTCACCAAAAAAATAAAAATAAAATAAATAAAATAAAATCATCAGTGCAGTAAGAAATAACCAGTCCTCTTCATAGTCCTTGTATTTTTAATTTCCACAATAATATCTATTATGGCAGCCTGTTGTCTTTTAATGAACTGTAAAAGGCAAAGTTTTGGCTAGTATAAGACTTTAGAACTTCTGGGAGCTGCAGACACAAGATGAATTTGCACCCACTCGTAGGCCATTCTCCACAAACTTTCATCAAGTGCTCATGAGAAAGATTAGGGGCAGGGAAAGAATACAGAGAAAGCCTTGCTTACAATGCAGTCTTTGGGGACGTGAGCAGGAGCTACTCTGGGAAAGACATGAAGTCTGGCTTGGATCCTTTGAATTCTGTTCCTCCTTCCCCCATGCAGCCAAAAAAATAAGAAGAAGCCTTATGCAACTGGGAGAAGGACGTAAAACTGTCATTTTAAGGGTACAAGTTAAAGCATACTGGGTGAAGAGAACATAAAATAACCTCTACCCTGTGGGAAGAGCAGGAAATTGTCCTGGACCAGAACTTTAAAGATCTCCTATGCTAGGAGAGGGTCAAGGTCACTGAGAAGGCCTCCTCTCTGAGAGCCAATAATATAGCGCCTGCCTAAGAGTGAGTCTGCAACAGAGCAACAAAGAACACCCCACCTCTTCCCTCCACTATCAGGCTAGCAAGTAACAGCAGTCTACTGCTGGAGGAATAAGAGCGTGGAGAGACATCCTCTGTGAGACATAGGCACAAAGGGAAGACTGACTGCTGAGAGTAGAAGAGACACTGAGAAAAATGCTCCAAGAAATCAGCCACCACTCTAAGAAAAATATAACACTAGAATTGGAAGTCTGCAGCATATTGAGGGTCACCATAGCAACAACAAAACATGACATGATTGTCTCAACACTCCCCGCTAAAGATATGCCCATTTCTGGGCATAAATAGTGTTTACCTAAGTCTCTACTATCATACTCAAGATGACCAGCTTTTTACCAAAAATGGTGAGACACACAATGAAACAAAAAAATAAATAACACACTGTCAAGAGACAAACCAATCAACAGAACGAGATTCAGATATGACATGGAGTTTGGAACTGTCACACAGAGAATTTTAAATACTATAATGAATATATATTTGAAGACTCTAATTCAGAGATCAATAAATGTTTTCTATAAAGGGCCAGATAGCAAATATTTTAGGATTTGCCAACCATGAAGTAAAATTAAGGATATTGTGTAGGTTTTTAGATAAGAAGAAGGAAAATTTTCCACAAAAATATAGTAATAATACTAATTTGGTACAATATTTTGTAATACAGATTTACTAGTGAGAAGAACAGAATTCTTTTTTGGGAGAATAACATTTTATTTAATTGGGATTCAAAGGTAGTGTTCTCTATCATCAAAATCAATTGCAAATTTTCTGTTAATGGTGATTTATAATGATATTTTATGCATTACAAATAAGTGTTGCCAAATGCTGATATTAATCCATGAACATGTGACTTTGAGCATATTCTTCACTTGGAAGGCATTTATTGAATTCTTTTAGGTTCTTCTCTTGATATTTGCCTTTTATCATGTCATTACATTGCAAGTGAGTCACTTTACTGAAGTTTAGGTGGAAGCTCCACAATTGCACAGTAAAATGGATTTTGAAACATGTACTTTTCTTTTTCACTTACATTGAGGTCCAAAAACTGCTTCTGAAACTGCAGCAGAAAGCTCAGAAAACAGTTCTACTGCAAATTTGTGTGGAAATGCATATCTTGCTTCTTGGTTCAACTTTTGACAGCACAGGAACTGTATAAAGCACCTTGACATAATTTGTGATTCAAAAAACATTAGTTATCATCAAAATGATTTTGCCATAGTATTGACAGCAATAGAAAACTAATACAGGATGGGTGAGAAGAATAGAGAAGATATTGTAATAAGGCCCTTGCACTACCTAAAAAGAAGATATACTTATTTGAAGGAAGAGGACAATTAAAGATATACACTGTAAACTGAAGGGAAACTAGAAAAAAATTAAATAACAGTAAGTAAGACAATAGTGAAGATATAATAGAATCATATAAAATACTCCATCAATTTAAAAGAAAGCAGGAACAGAGGAAAAGAGAAACATAAGATTGTATAAATAGAAAAGAACTAGCAAGATGGTAGATTTTAATCAAACAATACCAATACACTAAAGGTAAACATCCTACTAAATGAATTAATGCTTCCATTAATTCACATTCCTGTTCTATTACATGAATTAAGACAGATTGTCAGACTGGATGTTTTTTAAAGCATGACTCAACCATATGCCCACCTTAAATATAAAGACATAGATAGGTTATAGGGAAAAGGAAGGAATATGACATACGATGTGTGAAAATTAATAAACAGAAATCTCATTTAAAATGGAGTCAGGAGGCCAGAAGGGGTAGTTCTCCTGTGCTACAATGACGGGAGCCCAAGAGGAAGAAGAAAGACGTCCTCTTCCCGCTGGGCAAGAGCTCAGCCAATCAGAGACTGTCACAACTCAGCCAGTGAAAAACCACTATACTTCTAACTCTGGATTCCTCCAATGGACTCTCTGCTTACAAGAGCCCTCACAACTTCCTCTTGCCTTCTCTAAAAGAGTTTCTCCTCCTCTTGTTGTTCGGAACTTAACATGGGGCTTGTCATGGTTGCAGATCCTGAGTTGCAATTCTTTGTTGATCCAAAATAAACCCATTTTTGCTGGAGGAATAATTGGCTCTTTATTTGTTTAAGCTCAACAGATGTAGACACTAATCAGAAGAAATAGTGGCTATATTTCTATGGGGCAGAGTCAACACC